ACGCAATCAGTGATCTGCAGTGTTTCACGTCACATTTTAGTACCGGTACGGTACGCTTGGAACCTCAACAGACCAGGTACCATTTAAAGCGACCTGAAGCGAACCGTACTGTACCGTACCATGCAGTGGAAAAGCACCACAAGTGAGACGTACCGAACCGAACCGTACCGTACTATGCAGTGGAAAAGCGCCTTAACTGACGCTTTCCTTTAGCGTCAGTTAGATGACGCCGTAGGATCGCGTCATGTAAGTGACGCTAAAGGGCGCCTAAAACGTCAAATATTGAAGCATGGTCAAAGGTGACGCCTTGTGGGTGAGAATGCGTTGTCCACTTTCATTTACATTTCTGCATTTGGCAGATGCTTTAATGGAAAAGCATTTTTTTCTTCTTCAGTTTTTGCATTCCCTGGGAACTGAATCCATGCTCTACTGTCTAGGCTACAGGAACACTTAATTTTATATGGAAGAGAGCAGTGTAAATATTCTTCAAAATATGTTCTTATGTGTTCCACAGAAAATAATTCATTTGGAACGATAATGACAATTACATTTTTTTTTGGGTGCACTATTCCTTTAATTGCAGAAATATGTCTTAGTACAGTTCAACCATAGACTTTACCATCTCAGTTCTGTTTTGGCTTTGAATAGGTTTTTCATGAGTTTTCTTAGGGATCTGAGAGAGTACAAACCCATGTTACTTTTTAAAAATACTAATGTGTTCTCAAAAGGAATCATCGCGGTTGGTTTGCCATACTTTAATTGGCCATGCAATTATTACTGCAGTTAAAAGTTAGAAATGACTCAATAAATGAAAGAAGATTGTCATTGTCTCTGAAACTTCAAACAGCTTGTTTCATTGTCTGACGTTATTGACAGATTTAAAAAAAAAGAGTCATAACCAAGTCTCTGCCAGTAGATTATTAATTCCTGGAAATGTTATTTAATTTTGTATTTATGAACAAATACAGTCCACACTGAAAGGCTTTTATTTTTTCACCTCTGCAGAATATCTTACTGCACAACAGACAAAATTCAGGATAAGGTCTTTGCCTACATCTCCCAAAGCCAGTTCAATGAAACTCTGGAGTGCCATGCCTTCCTCTGCCAAAAAAAGAAAATAGTAAGTGTGTTATCATGAACATATTTGGGAGCACACTAATATTTATTGGCCTATTTCATATGCATATGCACATTGTTTGTTAAAACTTTTCTATTTTTATAGTATTGCAATCCTTCTTCACCGCGATATGTTTCCTTATTATTAATTTTCCCTTTTTTTTCACAACAAGTTTTTATGTGATTGTAATTGGTTGTTGTGCAAGCATAGCTTTTTCTCTTGACCCATATCTATAGCAGATATCTTACGCCATCTAGTGGACAAGAGCATCATTCTTCAGAAACCCTCTGATTTTGTGCGTTCATGTGTTTTCCACAGGCTCAGGCTGTGACTCTGACAGTTGCGCAAGCTTTTAAAGTAGCTCTAGATATGTGGGAAATCGCACAGGAAGGTGAGGGTTTTGTTCCACATTTGTTTAGGCTATACATGAGCCATTCCACCGAAAGGGTGACATTCTGTTCCCAGGACATTATATGTATAAAATTGCATGAAAATTAACTCTAAAATACATTTTATTATTAAGCAAA